TATCATATTCTAATTTCCTTCTGAACTTGCTGTTCAGTTTCATTGGTCTTCCTATTTGCACTCCAGTACTGCTCCATTTTAGTTTCAGAGACTTTCTGCCATTTTAATATCTGCTGTTTTAATATTTTGTTTGGCTATTCCTCTCTCATAGCGTTTACATTGTTTTCCTTAGATAATCTTGTGTGGGTTTTTTATTTATTTGAACTTTAGTATTTAGTAAGGTTGTTTATTTCTGGGGGGCAGGGGAGGGGGTGAAGGCTATTGGTATTTTTCTTGGGATTTCACAAAATTTATAAAATGATTTAGCCCAGGTATTTTTTGATAATGTTAAAATAGTCTAACCAAGAACCAAAGATGTCTTTCCATTTGTTCATGTCTACAGTTGTATTTTTAAGATTTTTTTTTTAGAATAGTGCTTTTTCTGTAAGTTTAAAATTCTTCTTTTTAAGTTTATTTGTAAGTATTTTATCTTTTTCATTGTTATTATAAACAGGGTTCTTTCTACCATTATATTTTTTAACTTCAACAAGTGTTTTTTAAATTTCTCTTTAAAATCACTGCTTAATGCATTTTTTTTCCCTTTCAAACAGCTATCTCAGCTCAGCCAGACTGTTTGCTATGCATCAAAGGTCATTCTTCCACGAATGAGTAACTTCCTCATGTCAGCAGACAAGTTTAAAACTTTGCATATGTACTGTAGACTAGAATCTACTGTACCTTCACCATCCAGAATTCAGAAGACCAGCTATTAGGAAAAGGGTAATCATTCTGGAAGCTTTGTGAGTTGCTCTTTGGATTAGTGCAACAAGAATGTTGTTACCACAGTCAAAGAAGGGAGAGGACCAGAGGTCAGCACCAAGTCTTAAGGGACCATCAGCATTTGGAAGTACAGATCATTGCTGGGTTTCTGTACAGTATAGGTGTGACTAGAATGGCCCCATGGAATCTCACTCATCCTGAGTTTCTGCAAGCCATTCATTTTTATAATGCATGAGGGGTGCTGTGTGTTAAGTATTTTACCATATAGAACATATTGGTGGTTCTTGCCTGTGCAGGGGAGCTACAGTGCTTCACTGTCAACTTTGTGTTTGACATTTTTCTGTCTCCACTGAGGCATTTGAAGTTGTGCCAGAGTGGAGATATGCCTTCTCTGTACTTAATCTCACAGCTGTGAATTTGTGTGATTCATTCTGCAGTACAGTTGGAGTGGTGGTGATTATTTATGCTGAAGTACTAAACATTTGCAAAGTCATGAGATTTTAATGGAAACTTACAGTTTTTTACAAATTACTTTTAACCTTGGTGTACTTTACACTCACTAGAAAAGATAGATACTAGAAAATACTGAATGAGAAAGCAAATTTTCAGGACCCAGAATAATGCTGAAATAAAACCAGAACTTGTTTCTATAATCTCTTGATACTTGCTGGGTTTGGGTTGAGGTCATGTATGATTCCACAGGGAACCTTGTATGTTTGTTCATTCATCCCCATCTATTCATCCCTCATCCAGATCTTATTCTCACAGGATACTTTGTCAGAAAAACCTATTAAAGCATCTTTTTAATAATAGGATTTTTAATGTAGTTCTAATGACCTTTCAACGCCTAGTTTAATGAAAGCAATTACATTTTTTTGTGTAGCTTGGATAGAAAATGGTTATTATGACTAATTAAATCATCAGAGTAAACCATTTCTTTGTTTCTTTTCACATAAATGTGCATACACGTGTACACATGTATTTATTTATTTATGTAATTTATTTAGTCTTTTACAACTGTGTTAATATTTCTGATTCTTTTTTATTTTATTATTTTTTTCTTTATTGATTTGAGAGAGAGAGGAAGGAAGAGGAAGAGAGAGATAGAAACATCGACGAGCGAGAATATCTATTGGCCACCTCCTGCATGTCCCCCACTGGAGATCTGGCCCACAACCTGGGCATGTGCCCTGACCGGGAATTGAACCAGTGACCTCTTGGTGCACGGGTTGACCCTCAACCACTGAACCACACCGGCCAGGCAATATTTCTGATTCTTAATAACCTAATGACCATAGCCAGGAATGCTAACATTTTTAGAATATAATGAATAACAATAATATAAGAGATAATAGGTAACATATATTACATACTTCTGTGCCAAGCTCTATTCATAATATGTGTTTATTCTTCATAGGAGCAGTATTAAGTGGTTGCTATTATTCTGCATTGAACAAATGAGGAAACTGAGGCAAGTTAAATAATTTGCCCAAACTCACCCAGGTAGTAAGTATTGGTCATTTAATTCCTGGGCTCTAAACCACCACAGAAGTCACTATTTAGCAGTAATGAAGTCTAGGAGTTCTGATTCCTGACATGTCCACTCAGAGTGCTGTTGTCATTTTGTCCCTTACACAGCCATGCTGACCCTCTTGCTGCGATTCAAATACGCTGAGTATGCTCCTAACTTGCTCTTCTATCCTCTCTTCCTCAGAAACCCACCTGGCTCACTCTGGCTTCCTTCAGAGCAGCCTTTCTGACCACCTATGTAGAATAATATAAAAAATAAAGCAGAATAAAAAAATAAAGAGGAAGGCCCATTTTGGGCCTTTATTTTTTTATTCCCCTTTATTTTTTTATTCTGCTTTATTTTTTATAGCACTTACCATCTGACATACTGCATTTTTACTTTTATCATCTACCTCATGTCAAACATTAATCTGTTTTTCACCTCTGTAATTTCATTTCAAGTATGTTATATGAATGGAATCATATGGTAAGTGACCTCATGAGATTGGCTTTTTTCCCTCAAATGACCTTGACATCTAAGTTGTTGCAGTAGTTCATTCCTTTTTATTGCTGAACAGTATTCCTTGGCTTGCATGTTTCACAGTTTGTTTAACTATTCATCTATCAGTGGACAAGTGAGTTGTTTCCAATTTGGGGCTAGTATGAGTAAAACTGCTCTGAACATTCATGTACAGGTTTTTGTATGGGTGTAAATTTTCATTTCTCTAGGACAAATGACTGAGAGTACAGTTGCTGAATTGTATAGTAAGTATACATTTGGATTTTAAATTGCCCAACTATTTTCCAGAGTTGCTGGACTATTTTACATTTCCACTAGCACTATAAGATAAGATCAGTTCCTTTTTTAAGATGTTGAGAAAACATAAGGGCTTTTTATTATGTATTTGTGTTATGTGTTTTATCAGACAGATCGTAATGTAAATTCATCAAAGGCTATGACTTTGGCCTTCTGTCTTTGTATATATGCTTGTAGCACAGATCCTGGCATATGTACCCTGTAAATATTTGTTGAATGAAATTCAACAAATTTCTAATTGAGCTTTGATTCACTGGGATTACCTTGCATGTACAATATTCTGATGTAATTTTGATGTCTCCTTTTTAGCCACACCTCTTAACAACTGGCAGTGATGTTGATTTTGACTCTGGGTGATTTCTATTTCTTTAATTATTGAATCATTGCATTTTCTGTGAGTTTTGATAGCCCAGCAGAATATAGACAAAAAGAATTCCTTTTAAGACAAAACCTGTAAGTTACTATAGTTGGGAAAAAAGCATGACCTACTCTTTTTTTTATGGTGAAGATGGGATATTGCTAAGATGGATTAAAAGGGACTAGCCTCCATACACATCAGAGTGCATCTTTTCTCCCAGAAGTCCTCAAGTGTGCCTGTGCTATATCACAGGTCACCTGTGCAGTTTTATGGAAGTTGTAGCCATGGGACTCAGGGGGGACTTCAGGTTTTCTAAATTTGAACTGTTGAATGTTGTACTAAACTGACATATGGAACAATAACTTTTATTTAGCAATCAGATTTATGTAGATATCCCTGGAGAATTATGCTAATATCAGGTATTTTCCAGAGTCTGAATTACTGAAAGATCATCAGAGATAATATACACTATAGTGGTGGGTTTTTTTGTTGTTTGTTTTTTTTTTTTTTTTATCCCCAATCACTTTAGGACATACACACCTCCACAGTGCAGAGTTTGACAGGTTTCTTTCTTTAGCTATTTCCTTATTTTCCCAGGTGCTAAGAGTTAATTCTTTATTTCTAATGGGAGATAGCACTCTTCCATGTTAGAAAAATTCATAGCATACTCCCTCCCATATGAAATCTCTTTCAACTTTGCATCTCCTAACTCACTCCTCTCCTCTCAACAATCATCAGAAACACAAAGTATCTTTTTTGGAAGCCATAGGTTTAAACTTTACAAATCTTGAGGCTCTATGTATAAATGACTATAATGGTATAATGTAGAACAAGATGGAATAACACTCATTTGCATAATTGCCATCCAACATTAAACAACATGACACAGCAGCTATAAGTCTGTGGTCTTAGAGACACATGGCAAATCTGTGATGGAGTGTGCGGCCATGAGGGTTAGAGCTTCAGTGGTTAGGAAGACCTATGCTTGAGTCCCTGATTCCTGGACCTAGGCAAGTCCCTTAACCTAAACCTCAATGGTCTCATCTGTGAATTGGGGATAATAATAGTGGCTCATCCCATAAGACTGGTGTGAAGATCAAAAGAGGCAATATACATGAAGTTCTGAATACAATGCTTGGCACAGCTCAGTGCTCCAGACACAGCTTTTCATTGTAAGCTCCATGAGGAGAGAGATTTGGTCCATTTTGTTCATAGCTGTATCCTCAGCATCTGAGACAGTGCCCATGGTAGGTTCTCCACAAATATTTGCTGAATAAATAAATAGTTATTAAAGACCTTACTCGGGAATACCATGGTCGGTATTCTTGCCTCATCCCAAAGCATATACTGTAGATGGATTCATTCAAGCTCATTTCTTTCTTATTCAGATCTTATCATTCTGTCCCATACCCTCTCTTTTGACATTATTAAGCTCGCACTGAGATTCTAGCAATACAAAGCGAAGAAAAATTGGTCTCTGCCCACAAGGAGATTCTTTTTAAAAAAAAATTAAATGTATTGGGATAACATTTGTTAATAATATTATATAATTATCAGGTGTACAAATTTATAACACATCATTTGTATATTCCGTTGTGTACTCACCACCGAAAGTCTAGTCCGAGGAGCTTCTGTCTTATAAGGAAACACAACTACACAGACACGTTCTCTGAAGAGGTGCCCCCCTGCCTTCCTTTCCTTCTTCATTTCATCTCTTTCTTCCGGTGAGTTTAGCATGTGCATTTTCTTCCATTGTCGCCATGTATGATTTGAATCCAGCAGAAAATCTAACTGTTTGTGGGAAGATGTTTGTTTTGGGTTTCTTATTTTTTGTTTTGTCGCCAAAATAGTTTTCACTTGTTATCCTCTTTTTGACTGGCTTCCAGTAGAATTTCAGATACAAAGCAACAGATGGCTGGGAAGAGGGTTTTGCAGTGTCCCTTGGGCCTAGTGAAATCCCACTTGCCACCCAGACGTTGCAGTTTCTGACGAACCTTCAAAGCTTCTCCAGCTTGTTTTCCATTGCAAAACTAGACAGTGCTTAGCAGTCATCATAGCATATTTTATGATTATTAAGGAGAAGTACTGGCTATTGTAGCTCTCTGTAGAAGAAGCAAGTACACACAGTGGTACAAATGTCTTTAAAATTAATTTTCTTTTAAAGATTGAGCATGTTTTGAATGTTAAAGGGGAAATATGTTTGTATAACTTCTCATCTTTAGAAATGTTGGCAAGCAAAGATGTTCTTTGAATTAATAGTATTAGTGTTTAGTCCAGATGTAGATTCCAAAACATTTAAAAATATAGAAATTCTACAAACAGGCCATCTAGAGATTGACCTCAATTCTATCCATTGTCAAAAAACCACTCAGATTCATTTTGATGTCTTGTCAAACAATTTTGCCCTAATTTATATAGAAAAACAATTCTTGTATTATAACTATTTTATGACAAAATGCATTTGGGCCCTGGCAAGTTTGGCTTAGCGGTTAGAGTGTTGGCCCATGGACCGAAGAGTCTTGGATTCAATTCCGGTCAAGGGCACATACCTCGGTTGCAGTTCTGTTCCCGGCCCTGGTAGGGGTCATGCAGAAGGCAACCAATTGATGTGTCCCTCTCACATCGATGTTTCTCTCTCAATCACTCTCCCCCCCCCCCCCATCCCATCCCTCCCACTCTGTCTGAAAATAAATGGAAAAATATCCTCAGGTGAGGATTTATAAAAAAAATGCATTTGGTATATACTCTTACTATGTAATGTTTAATTTGTCCACTGCATAGATATTGTCTCTTTTATAACTATAGAATTAAACAAGTAAACCAGAAACCTGGTTGTTGACATATCTTCTAACTGCATATATCAGCACAATGAACTTCATCAAAATTAAAAACATTTTTTTTCCCCAAAGGGCACTCTGAAGAAAATAAAAAGAGCTCAGCCAGTATAGCTTAGGGGCTGAGCATTGACCTATGCATCAGGAGGTCCCTGGTTTGATTCCCAGTCAAGGCACATGCTGGGATGCAAGCTTGATCCCTAGTAGGGGGCATGCTGGAGGCAGCCAATAGATGTTTCCCTCATCATCCATGTTTCTTTTTTTTTTTCTCTCTCTCTCTCCCTTCCTCTTTCTGAAATAAATTTTTTAAAAAGAAAGAAAGTAAAAAGAACCCACAGAATTAGAGAGAATATTTTCAAATTATGGATTTCATAATAGCTTAGTATTTAAAATATATAAAGAACTCTTACAACTCATCAATAAAAAGACAAATAGCCCAGTTAAAAAATGGGCAAAGAAATTTAATAGACATTTCTGTGAAAAAAAAAAAAAAAGACCAGTAAACATATTGAAAGATTATCAGCTATATTAATCATTAGGGAAATGCAATTCAAAGCCATGAGATACCACTTCACACCCATGAGAATGACTATATTTTTTTTAAAGTACAATAACACATGTTGGTGACAATGTGGAGAAATTGGAACCTTTATAAACTGCTGGTGAGAATGTAAAATGGTGCAGCCACCTTGGAAAATGCTTGGCAGTTCCTCAAAATGTTAAACATAAAGTTACCATATAAACCAGCATTTCCACTCTTACATTCAAGAGATTAAGGACAAATGTTCACACAAAAACGTATATGTGAATGTTTATAGTAGTATTTCTCACAATAACCCCAAAGTAGAAACAACTCAGCTGCTCATCATCTGATGCATGGTTTAACATAGTGTGTATAGCCATACAGTGGAATATTATTCAGTCATAAAAATAGAAGTACTGTCATGATATTACCTAGCTAACTCTTGAAAACATTATGCTAAATAAAATAAGTCAGATACAAAAGGCCACATATAGTGTGATTCCATTTATGTGAAATATCCAAATAGGCAAATCTATAGAGATAAGAAGTAAATGAATGGTTGCCAGGGATGGGGAAGGAGAAAAGAGGATAGGGGATGACTGATGGGTCTTGGATTTTTATGGGTTCATGAAAATGTTCTAGAATGTTGCACAACCTTGTGAATGTACTAAAATCCACTGAATTGCATGCTTTAAAATGGTAGATTATATGGTATGTGGACTATGTCTCAGCTTTTTAAAATCTGCACAGAAAACCTATAGAAAATAAATTAACAAATTAAGAATCATCTTAATATGAAAAAAAAAACAAAAACCATCCAGAGTCATGATGTTGTCCTTAAGGTCTTATTAAAAAGGTGTTTATGACAGCAAATATCCCTCCAGGATGTCGAGGGTAGATTACACAGAAATCACTTAGACTTCCTTAACCCACACACTAAGATAATTGCCTGAAATTCCACTTCAAGTGCGGTCAAGTGTAAATTTAACCATGTGTTGCATTTACAGGGATTAGGAGGTAGACTATAGTTTGCAATAACTAATTGAAATAATGTAGTGGATAAACCCTGAAGCTGGAAGGATCACATACTTTTATTGCATTCCTCTGTTCTAAAATCCACCCCCCCCCCCCTCATTTTGACATCTTTGGGATGTGTCTTACACTTGATGCTGTCTTGGACTTTATGAAATATGGCAGTTTTGTGTTGTGTGTTTGCTTTCAGTGCCTTTCTAGAGTGGTTAGCCATGCAAGATTAACTTCACTATTCCCTGAAGGGCTATTTATATTAAAATATCATTGCCAGAGCACCCCAGCAGTTTGTTTATTTTGAGGCTTTGAAACCCAGTTGTTGATGTATCTCCTAATTGCACAAAAATAGCTCACAGAGGTTAAAGGAAAGCTTCCCACACCCCTCCCTGTCTTTTGTATTATGAGTACCGCGAATGGTTTCCCTCCTTCACTTTTCAAGGGCCGGAGGGAGAAGGGCTCCTCAAGTCGTCCTGCCTTCGTATTTCCTTCTGTGATGCTGGGCCACAGAAGAAGAGGTAGGAACTTGAAACAATCAGGCATTTTATGAATCCTGTTTCTACATAGGATGTTTTGATTCGAATCTTTGAGTATACAGTTTTCAATGTTTCTATTACACACTGTAATTTAATAGTTTTTTTTAAAAAACTGCTACAACAAGACTATCCTTTCAGGGATCATTTCTATAGTTCATTAAAAAGCTGCTATAACATATCTAACTATATCATAAAAATTCCATAATACAACGTAGTTCAAGTTGTACCCAGTATCTTCTGTAAGTCCTTAGGAACCAGAAGGTCTTAGATTCCTGAGTAGAGACTGGGAGGATATTGTTAATCCATAGTTTACAAAATATTTGTTTCACCCCTAAACACAGAGTGAACGTGGTAATGACAAATGGCTATACTTCTTAAAGTTGTAAACATGAGACAAAAACTCAGAGCATACTTAGGCTGAGAAGCAGTTGTCAAGGGGAGTGGAGCAGGAGAGGGTATTTGCATTGTTAGCACCCCTGGTCCTGTGTGATGGTGTGCTTCTACAAAGCAAAGTTTTTACTGGCATTACCTTCAAACAAATATATTAATCCTAACCATCTGTCTATGTGTTATATAACAGGAATACCTAAGTATTCCCAAAGTGAAAAAAGGAATTTCTTCATGTATATATCAAAATGAATATTTATGCACATATATCTTCTAATATATGTTTTCTGTACAGCACAGATATGTATCTGTTTATGCCATATAGTCATCAATCATCCCTAGTAGCTTAGTTCAATGGTGATTTGTAATGGAGAGAGTGACTTTCTCATGCCCTTGGTTGAAGATTCGAAATGAATAGTAAGTCCAGGTTATAAAGCACAATGTCAAGGGAAGGGAAGCATTTAGTAAGAGCCTAAACCATACAATTTTCCAGGAATCAGAGAATGGTAATTATTGAGTGCTTTGAATACCCTTTTCAGTTTGGATTCTTATTGTTTTTGAAAAAAAAAAATCCTCTGGGTGCTTGGAGCACATGCACTGGACAGTCTCTTCTCTCCCACTTCCTTTCCAGCATTTTCAGACCCCTCCTGGTGATAGCGGGGGGAGAGAGCAGCTGCAAGGGGTCAAGAACGTCTCAGTACTATATCTACCTAGCTACCTCTGCCTAGGCATTTTGGCCACTGATGTGCACATGGCCTTAATTGCAGGGTAGCCCATGAAAAGCTCACTTCAGACCCAAGATAACTCATTGTTCTTGCTTGATTTACACCTCATTCTGTTTTCCATCTTAACTCATAAGCATGAGTTAAAAAAAATAGGTTGTTGCTATTTGGTGATTATTTTATCGTATTAGGTAATACAGCATTTTGGACAAGGCCATGGATACTAGAATCAGGTTACATGTGTTCATATTCTGATTCCACTGTTTACTAGCTGTGTGACTTTGGGCAAGTTATTTAATCTCTCTGTACCTTATGATTCTTATCTGTAATGTGGGGCTAGCAATTGCATCTGCCATATAGCAATATTATCATAATTAAGTGAAATTATATATGAGGACCACTTAGAACAATACCAGCACATAGAGTTAAGTACCCAAGGAAATGCTGTTTGATTTGCCATGGAAAGTAGGGCTTCTAACTTAGACCCTATTGTTTGCAGAGGCACACAATGCAGAAAATAACTTTGGGAGTATTTTTGCATTCAAATAACACATTTAAAATAACTTTTTTAAATTATTAATTCTGTCCAAATAAAACCTTTAAAATTGGTCTTTGCCACAGATTGTTCATTAATTAATTAATTCTCTTTTTACTTCTAAAATTGGAATAAATTTCTGATCTATAAATGCTACCAAAAATGGTAAATCGAGATGAAAGGCAACTTAGTATAGTAGAAAGAATATAAGCTGGGGACATACAAAGATCTGATTGTAAGATATCTCTCCACCACTTACTGCTTTGTGATCCCAGGCAAGTATTTAACTCCTTTGAGCCTCAGTTTCTTGTTAAAATGAAACTAATAAAGCAAGTGGTCTATCTTATAGTATAAAAACATGATGGTGTGCCAAAAAAGAGCTGCTATAATTAAACCAATAACTAGTTTCTATTAACCATGCAAAGGATTTAGAAAAATTATCCATGTCTTTGATGGTTCTAGTGTTAATGATCTTTTTTTTTTTTTTTTTTATCCTCACCCGAGGATATTTTTACATTTTTTGTACAGATAGAATGGGAGGGAGAGAGAGGAAGGGAGAGAGAGAGAGAAACATCGACGTGAAGGGACACATCGAGTGGCTGCCACCCGCACGACCAACCAGGGCCTGGGACAAACTGCAACCAAAGTACGTGCCCTTAGCGGGAACCGAACCCGGGTCTCTCCAGACCGCAGGCCGACGCTCTAACCGCTGAGCCAAACTGGCCAGGGCAGTGATCTTGATCTCATGATGTTCCTTAGCCTGCTAGAGCTTAAGAATGATCACCTGGCTGAACCTGTCATACGAAAGTTGTCATGTAGAATTTTGTCCTGAAAAGGAAGACTGAAGGTATATCACAAAGGAAATTGGGATATATTTTAGGTGTAAAATCCAGTAAGCTAATAACAACAGCTAATTATGTGATCTTGTTCAAGTTACTTAACTGTTTTATGCCTCATTCCTGATATGGAATTATTGGATGAAATGACTTTTGAGAAATAAATGTTCATGAGTTCAGGAAAGATAGAACAAGCGTTTACTACCTACCAGACTAGGATATAAATGTAACTGGAGTTTTGTTCCAAAAATGGGGATATGAGAAAGGGAGAAGTGAAAATTAGATCTTTTTAAAAAAAAAATTTATTAATTTATTTTTGTTTAAAAATTAGATCTTAAAACTGAAATTTGACGTATTGAACATAGTTGATCATTTAAAAGATCACATAAAGTTTTTAAAGCACTGATTGAATATTGAAATAACTGCATGTGGAAAACTTCTCTTTTTATGTTTTTTATTTTTACTGTCAAACTGTGAGATCTTAAAATTAAATGTGATCACACTGAGTCCAATTACCTACATATGTGCCTCCCCCCCACCAATGCTATATTTCCCTTGAAGAACAGAGGAAATTCTTCCTTATAGTAAGAAAATACAGTGTTAGCTTTGTAATGATGCTGTCAGATGCTAGAATGATATACAACATATAGTTGAATGGTATTCTGAGACTTTTTTATGGCAAGGTTTGAGCATTATACAAAATATCTTCTAGTGCACTTAAATTAGGGTGCATACCAGGCCAGTTGTCTCCAGGTTCTACTCCTCTGCTGAATGAAGACATAGTTTGTTCTAAAAAAAAAAGCAAATCGGGAAAAGAAGGCCCACTGGATAAACCCATGTGCCGGCCGTGAGCTCCCGGCCAGCACAGAGAAATGCTGTTGGGGAGCCCTGTTCATCACCATTTAAAGGTTCATCAAATTTGATGGAGAATTATATTTAATGCTTAGAGTTGGCAGGTCCTTTTTTCCTCACAGCTTTTTAAATGACTCCTTTTCCCACTGATTGGTCCACCCACCTCATTTTCCTCTTAATATTTCACTAGCACGTCTGCTGCTGGCAGTATGAGGACCCCACGCCAGCCAGATATCAGCGGGCTGGCTCAGCCCAGCAGCAGCTTAGGAACGAATCTGACCAGAGCCGGGAGCAGAGGCCCTTCATAAATAATGATATGCTCTTGTCAGTGGTTTTGGCCCTCGAAGGATGGTAATATGCAGATGGGTCCGCTCTTGTCTGCCACTCTGTCTTTGAACTTCCTGTTCAAGGGTATGGTTTTCATCAACCTCAATGCTGTAAAGAACACCTTCTTTATAAGATTGGATTTTTTTTTTTAGCCAAAAGAAAATAACTGAATGTTTTTGTGTATAAAAGGTTTCTTTGAAAAAGATTAAAAGGGGGTGGAGTAACCAGTCCAGATGTCCAAGTGAAAAGTTGTGACTGTGAAAGGAGCTTTTTCTTGTAATGCATGAAAAGTAAGACTGAGAACAACCTTTTCTAGGCTCCAGTTTCATTAAACACCATTAAGAAATTATACCTTTTGCTATATAACTGCTTTCCCTTATTTTTTTTGTAAACAGTCTCTGTACATATATGTCATTTTGCCTACTCATGCCTACAAATCTTTTGGCAGGAAAAATAATACTTCTACCTTTTCTTTTCAGCATCTTGATCTCATTTTCAGAGGGACAAGCCAAATGCAGTGCTCACGGGGTGAGCAGGGTTTGGAATGCTTGGTATGCTAGCTTCCTTCAGATGCTGTTTACTGCTGGGGTCCAGTCATGGTGCAGGTAAACTATAGGGACCCAATCAACCTTATTGGACCCATAAAACTAACTTTATCCAAGAAATAGAAAGTGAACAAATCTCAAAGCTTTGTATATTTCCAGAGAGAAAAATAATGCCTATATTTCTGACGTATTTATGGTGGAAACACAAGTGTATCCCACTTTAAAGAAAATTTTCTTTCTTCTTTTTTTTTTATTGTATCTATATGAGATGATGGATATTAACTAAACTTATTGTGGTAATTATTTCACAGTATATGTAAATCAAACCATCATGCTGTACACCTTAAACATATACAGTGATGATGTCAATTATTTCTCAACAAAACAGGGGGAAATCAATAAGCAATGGAAAATGAAAGTTTTGCTATTAGCAAGATTGCTACTAAAATTTAATAGAATGTAAATCCTTGAGAACTAGGAATGTTGTCTCCTTTGTTTCCTGCTTTATTCCTGTCTCCTAAAAGAGTATGACATAATAGGCTCTTAACACATATTTGTTGAATAAATGAGAAAAAAAAATCAATGGATACATTTTCACTGTGGCAAAGTGGAAATGACTAGAAGCACTAAAAATAGTAAATCTTTAGGCTCAAGTAGACACTGTCCTTAAGTAGATCACCTGAGTGTTCATTTGTTAAAGGAAAAAATTAGATACACAAAATGCTAGAGATACCATTGAAGATATAGTGACACAGTGAGTGAGGGGGCTCTAAAAGCATGGCTTGGAAGTATCACTCTAGTGTTTTAAATGCTGAGAGAAGTTCACAGAATCGTGGCATGTTGATAGGGAGATGGCCCCTTAGAGAATCCTCTGCCGGAAAAGAAGGTGGTTCAAGATTTTCGTGACAAAATATTTGAGAAGGTTAAGATCATCAGAGGTAAGCACCACTAAATTTTCATCAGCAAGTCCCAATTCTCAATATTAAAATTATTCTTTTGTTAGTTAGTTTGTGCTTATTTGGTCCTTGAAACTATGTATCTTCATAAGGTCAAGCACTATGTCTGTTTGGCTTACCACAGTATTCCCAGCTCCTAGCCCAGTACCTGACATAGTGGGTGCCTAATACATGTTGAATGAGTGCAGGAATGAATGAAAGCTTGGGAATTTAATTCACATCATTATGTTTAATGTTTATATTAGTATTCTCTAGGTGGCAAGTAACAGGAACCCAGCTCAGACTGACTTCACAAAAAAGGTGGTTTTACTGGGAGGATGCTAAGTCTAATCAAAGACTGTAGAAGCAGGGAAACCTGGACATGTCAGACTAAAACTGGGGCCTGGATTGCTGGCAGGTCTCTCTCTGTTTCTCTCCATCCCTGTCTCTTGTCTTGGCCTCTTTTGGTACATGCCCCTAGCAGGGGCCGAACCCAGGACTCTCTGATAGACCGATAATCCAACCACTGAGCCAAACTGGCCAGGGCATGTCTTGGCCTCTTTTTATGTGTGGACAATGATCTTCAACTGCACAGGAGGTTTTCTTTAAGAACCTGAGTCCCTAGTCTCATGTCTTAACAATTCACCCACCAGAGAGGAAATTTGTCCCATAAGCTCCATTTATGAAGTTATTATGGGAGCATGTGCCCTGGCCTGCTTGGATCACACACCACGGAGGAAGGGTCTGTCCCCGGAACAAAGGCGGGCTGTGGGGCTAGTTTCATTCCACATGAAACAAAGATGTTTCTTCCCGCTTCTTTTATTTTAAATAATCATGTGCAAATTGTATTACCATATTATACCTTAAAAAGTAGAAATATTTTAATGTAATTAAGAACGTCATAATGTCTAAAATTTTTAGTTATATGAGAATAGAATCCCCTTTAGAATATAAGTCTTACAAGGAAGTTGTATGTATTTGACTTCCTTATATGTTTTTAAGAACACTTTTTTACAAAAGTTGGGGGTACCTATACATGTATTTACAGTCATTAGAACAGTGATGAGGGCATGTGGTTTGAAGTCATTCCTCTTGGTAATGGTTTTCACTGTTATTAACTTTGAGCAAGAGATAGACCTTGAGCCTTTTGTGTTTGGTTTTGCCTTTGAATCAATTTTGTGGGGTTTATGCCTGTTTATTAATCTATAAAACAATGAGATTAAAAACTATATACTTCACAGGGTAGTTGTGAATATTAGGAAAGATAATGAATGTGAAAAAAATGTTTATTACAGAGTACAAACAATAAGTGGTTATTATTGTATCCTACACAGATACTCCTTGGCTAACGATGGGGTTACATCTGCGTAAACCCATTGTGAGTTGAAAATTTTGTAAATTGAAAATGCATTTAATAGGACATCGTCAAGCATCGGTTGTTTACCCTCACATTGCCTGGCTGAGCAGGAGCTGTGGCTTGCCACCACTGTTCAGCATCATGAGAGACCGACGACAGTCAGTCAAACATGGCTAGCCCAGAAAATGTCATAGCCATCAAACATGGCTAGCCCAGAAAATGTCAAAATTCAGAATTCGAAGTACGATTTCTTTTGAATGGGTATAGCTTTGGAATCAACATAAAGTTGAAAAATGGTAAGTCGTATGATCACAAGCCAGTGACTGTGTGTATGTATTTCTAAAGTGATATTCTTAATATGGGATCCATGGATTACCATCCCCCAAATTATATGTAAATGTGTATGTGTTTATACCTGTATCAGTCAATAGTAGGCTGGCTAGCCCTGGCCAGTTTGGCTCAGCGGTTAGAGCGTCGGCCTGCGGTCCGGAGAGACCTGGGTTCGGTTCCCGCTAAGGGCGCGTACCTCGGTTGCAGTTTGTCCCCGGCCCTGGTTGGTCGTGAGGGTGGCAGCCACTCGATGTGTCCCTTCACGTCGATGTTTCTCTCTCTCCCTCCCTCCCACTCTATCTGTACAAAAAATGGAAAAATATCCTCGGGTGAGGATAAAAAAAAAAAAAAAAAAAAAAAATAGTAGGCTGGCTCAGCTGTGACAGAACACCAAGAAACTGTGACTTAACAAAACATAAGTTCATTTCCCTCGGAAACTATACGCGCTCCAGAGATGAGCCATCCAGGACAAGTGCGGCAGTTCCATAGTCATCAGTGGCCCAGGCTTTCCCCTCTTGTTGTTTTGCTTTACTAAACCTCTGATATTCTCCTGTGAGTCCAAATGTCAGCTTAAGCGTTCAGGCCAGCAATATAGATGAAAGGGGTGATGCAAGAACACTTCCTGGAAGTGGGATATCTCATTGACCAGAACTTAGTCACATAGCCACACCTAGCTAAAAGAGCAGCTAAGAAATGCAGTCTTTATGTGGGAGGTTCCATTGCTAAGCAAGAAGAAGGGGGCCTAATGGGAGAATCTTATATGTCTACAAGCATATGGATATATATTTCAACAGGGAGAGAATCTATAGCTTTCATTAGAATCTTGAAGAGATTTATTACCATTTATAGAATTAAAAACAACACTGTTCCAAATTGGAATCAGCCATTTCATTATGTAAACCTATAGAGCAAGGGTACCTTTCTAGATCATCTCTCTGTCCTGTGACAGGAGAGTAGGAAATAATCAGTCCGTCTATAAGCATAGATTTGGTGCCATTGTGTACACATCACAGGTACCACTTGATAATAATGGTTTATTATTTTAATTTATCCCCTTAAATCCATCACTATACATAGTAAATCCAGGAGCTTCTTTTTGATGCCTCATGATGTGTTGTTACTCGAAAGACTCTTAAGCAATTTAAAATTTTATCTATACCCTTTTCTCCTTTCATCATTAAAGATACTAATCCAGATTATTTTTGAGAATTCATTGACTTTTGCTTTACATAATTAATTTAATTTAAAAACAATAAAGTCTAGTGAATATCTTTCTTAGTCTAATTGAATTTTTGCTTTTAATGTTTTTGCTTTGTACAAATCATTTGATCTTTTTGTTTTTACCCCATTTTAAGTAACACATGTTGAGCAACACATAAAATGTCAAAAATTCTAATTTAATTCATTTCAAACATAAACAACTTATAAAACTAACTCTAATAAAGTAAACAGTTTTTAGACATTTTAATGGTTTTATTGTGCATGGTCCTTGCTGATGCACAAATTTGTAGCTATAAATGGTTGGGTTACTTATTTTAATTAATGTCTCCTAAGAAGTTTCTCTCTTTAGAAACAAGTCAGATGTCAACGTTAAACATGTGACCCAAAAAACAGCCCTGATAATTTAATTGTCAAAGTAAAAATATGTCAGGATTTTTTCAAGTATTAAAATTGTTAATTATATAGCCATAAAAAAATCAATCCTGATCGACACAGTAAGATGTATGTTTATATTGTTAAAGTGTAAAGGAAGGTTACAAAGCAAGTACACCTAATATATTATTAAAAATATTTAAGTGTCAGGGAGAAAACAATTTCTAATAATAGACAGCAGTTATCCAACCATTTAATAGCATCTATTTTTGGGTGGTGAGGTTAAAGATGATTTTTACTTTCTAGAGTATTTTTTCTATATTGTATGGATTTTTATAGTATTATGTTGCATTACTTTTATTACCAGAGGAAAAAATTACAAACTAGAAGCTTTTTCCATTTTGGAGAAAAGTTATTTATAATAAAATAGATAAACCTAGGTAGTATTTTTCTTTTCACTACAGAGTTCTACCTTTAAAAATAAAAATGTCACTTAGAAGGTAAAATTATATACTGACTACTGTGATTTTGAATCATGGCATTTGGAAAATCTCACAGGAAATTTGATTTATTGCTGCTTTGTTGAAGAAGCTTCTTTGCCTTGCTTGTGCTGGGCTGGTAGCTACATGGAATTGCAATGAGATTTGAAAATACAGTAACTCAATGTGAATTAGAAATGCAGTCTCCTGGATGTCCTTCCCCTTAGAGTCGCTGACTTAATGTTAATGAGGACGTGTGTATGTTACTTATCACAAGGTGTGAGACTAGCAGGTGACTGCTGGGGACATCAGTAAAGCTTTTGTGCACTGTGAAAGCAAGAATAAGCCAGCTCTTTTAACCAAAGCCCCGGCTTTCCCTTCTTTGGATTCCCAAGCGGATCCTTCAGCTGAATCTAAGCCTTAAAAATAAAGCCACTCTCTATGCCTCTCTGTGCACACTGAGTATCTTGCCAAAGCCTTCTATGAGATATCTGTGAATTTTCCCTGGGAGAACACCACACAGTGTCCTTGGCTTCCTGTTCCAAATGATCCACTCCAATGACACACTGTAATACGGCTCAAGGTAGGGAGAATGAGCTGCCAAAACCTATTTATCACTTTGCTGGCCTTGAACTGTGCACATCCATTTAAAGTTAAAAAAGGGTCATAGGAAGAGCTTTTGTTCTCCCCCGCCTTGCCAACACTAGTATCTTGTATAAAGATTAAGATGAATTGTCAAGTGTTTCCCTGCCTGTTTCTCCCACCCTACAAACTGCCATTCCTTCAAGATGTATGAAAGAATGAATTTGGGGAAATAGATGCTTGCAGTTTCACAAATAAATATCGAATTTCCAAAGCTAGGAGGCATTGGTTAAATAGATGATGGTTATCCATAAATGGAATATTATGCTACCATTACAAATGCTGTTGAAAAATATTTAATAAAGTGCAGAGATGGCCAGGGTGTAACATTGTATGGATAACCATCATCTGTTTAACCAAAATAATATACAAAATATTATCCCAGTTTTGTTTTTAAAATTAAAAATATATATTCAGGAAAAAGTACAGAAAGATATGCTCCAATGTACTTTTTTGTAGTTACCATTGAGTGAAAGGATTATGTCTGAATTTTCTTCTCTCTTTCCCTTCCTCCCACATTCTTTCCCCTTTCTCTTTCCTTTTTTTCTTTTTCTCCCTCTCTTATCAGTATTTATTAACTTTTCTACTTCTGAAATAAAATAAAATTGAACTCATTTAAAATAAGTTAACTAGTGTTGATTCTCATTTAAAATAGGAAATTTGCCAGTTAACATGAAACAAAGGGAACACATTTTAGAGCATTTTATTTCTGGCAATTAAATTTATATTTTAAAAAAGACACTTTAGGAACTGGGGTGGGGGCGGATAATACACGAACTCTGTACTCTCCGCTTGTTTTCATCTAAACCTAAAACTTCTCTAAGAATAAAATCTATTAATTAAAATTGCAGAAGCCCCTTCACACTTGTGTTACTTGGCTGTCCTTTATTTTCTTGCCATCGCAGGTTGTCAGTCAGCATGTGTTACGTTAACACTGGAGTTTCAATGAGCCGAGGGGCAGGGTGAGGGCAGGCTGGTCCGGCTGTGGTCTGGAGAGCAGTGAGGCTCGCCGAGTACTCTGAACACCGAAGACCTGATTCTGCGGTTCTCCCTCTGGCTGACTCCTCCTGGCCTCTTGAACCTCAAACTCGGTCATCCCCGCCCCCTCCTAGTCACAGACCAAAGCAGAATATGTACCCCCTGGATTCCCTTGCGAGTTGGTGATGACCCCTGTCCTCAGTGGCTTTGCCGTGAAATCAGTTCAGTGCACACACTGGTTCTGGAAGGTTGCCACAGTGCCCTCGTGGCCCCTCTTGTTTAAAATCCTGCCTCCAGAAAGCCCTGTTGAAAGACAAGTATGAGAACTGCCATATTGACCAAAAGCAGGAGGTGCGGTCCAGGATAAGAGGGGCATGTTTGAGATGAGTACAGGAGCTAGAAGGCCAAGATATACAGGATTGAGAGTGCCCCTCACCCATCCTGTGTATCTGGCTCCATGTTTCCGGCAGCATGAGGCTACAGGGAGAAGGAAGAGAGAAGCAGGTGGAAGAGGGAACCAAGTAAGATGGTGGGAGAGCTGCCTTTATCCTGGGCTTGGCTTGGGGTAGAATTCTAGCCATCATTTTCACCTAACCAACCAGCAGTAACTACCATACCAACTAACTATAGTTTCTTCTTTCCTCTTTCTTCCCTTCCCTTTCATCATTCCATAAACACGCATCTGTACCTACTCTGTGCCCAGCTCCATGCTCGGTTCTGGGGCTCTAATATTGAGAACAAGCGTCCATGGTCCCTTTTCCTCATGAGGGTTGCAGTCTAATGGGAGAGAACTGGTCAGATAACCACACATAAAAATGTAAAGTTGCAGCCGTGACAATAGCTGGGGAGGAGAGGTACACATTATATTTTTATTAAATATCATATTATTACTACATCACCCTTATTATATTATTATACTGTGTATCATTATAGCAGGGTTGAATCTGGGAAGTTAGGCAAGACACCGTCAAAGAAATAATACTTCAGCTGAGATCTGAAGGATGAGTCGAGTGAGCCAGGAAGGCAGTGTGGAGGGTTTTCCAGACACAAGGAACAGCATGTGCTAAAGCTCCATCTGCTATCGTCTGGAAGGGGCTTACTAGAGCACGGAGGGCAGCCTCCAGTGTTTGACGTCCTGATTCCCACACACCCCACAGGACTCTTCCAGGTGCAAGTGAGTGTTCTTCTGAACCCCCGATATTCATTCTTTGTGTGTTTTGCTTCAGCTATAGAATCTGTTTTTACAGCTGCACTTTCTGGTACAGAATTTGAAT